GGTTTCGCCCAACGTGTCCACGTACAATTCGTTGGTGAAGGGGTTTGTCAAGAGTGGGGATGTCGCGGGCGGGAGTAGGATCTTGAAGGCGATGATTGGGAGGGAGATTCTTCCCACTGCCACCACTTACAACTACTTCTTCAGGTAATGAATTGTTCGTCGCGTGCCGCCTTTACGATGGGATTTCCCCTTCAATCGCAATAGGTTGCGTTCGGCAAACACGTGCATCTCTAGAAGCACCCTTGCATTTTAGCCATCATGATTTGATCTGATGAACCACACCATCCTAGGTCCCCAAGAATAATTGATCCTGAACAGGGAAAGTGATCGGTGTTAGTTATTTCTTGACCGTCAGTACGAAACGTATGAAATCTACGATCGTTTCGTGGTTACAGTTTTACTGAAATGACACTCCGTGTATTCTGTTTTGCTATGCTAGATTTGAAACTTATAGTTGTTTCTTCAGGTACTTTGCCAAATTCGGCAAGATTGAAGAGGGTATGAATCTCTACGATAAAATGGTCCGATCTGGGTATGAGCCGGACAGGTTAACTTATCAGTTGCTGATCAAGATGTTGTGTGAGAACCAGCGGCTGGATTTGGCTGTGCAGATGATTAAGGAGATGAACCAAAATGGGTTTGATTCTGATCTTGCTACGAGTACAATGCTAATTCATTTGCTTGCCAGACTACGGAGATATGATGAGGCTGTTGACGAGTTTGAGGGTATGATTAAAAGGGGGATTGTGCCTCAGTATATTACTTATAGAATGCTGGTGAAGGAGCTTAAGAGGTTAGGGATGGATGAAATGGAGAGGAAGGTGTCAAAGTTGATGGATTCGGTGCCACATTCTACTAAGTTGCCACGATCTTATAGGGAGAGGGAAGGGGATGAGGTTGTGTCTTTGAGGAAGTCAATCATAAAGAAGGCAGGAGTTATTTCAGAGACTCTTAGGGTCTATAAAGATACAAAGGAGGTGAATAAGGTGAAGGAGTCAGGGGAGAGTGCGGTTGAGAGTGCTAATAGGTTGATTGCTGATATTAAGAGGAGAGTGTATGCTGTGAAATCTGAGTAAAGGAGATCATGAGGAGAGTATGTGCAGTTAATATCAGGCAGTCAATTATGAGCGCTTGAAAGGAAAAGAAAAGCTGCGCCACATAAAATTAGTAAACTGAAAGATGATCAATTGTACATGGAAATGGCATCCTGCACTTGCCTCGGATAGTTCTACTAATTGTGTTGGAGAAGTATCAGGTGAAGACAAGGAGTCTGAGGCAGCTTACTTCTACTATAGTCTTTTTGAAACATGAGCATCTTCATCCGATCATTGGTGAGACATACTACTATATTGGAAAATTTTTATTACCGAATCTATATGTTTGACAACTATGTGTTCCTCTTCTTCTAACCTTTATGATATGAAAAACCTGTTTAATGTATGTTTATATATGGTATTAATGAGCTTAACTCATCTCCTTAATCCGTGATACATAAACCGTTGGCATAAGGGAAATGTTATATAGTTTTAGTTTTTGATCTTGGAATATTTTCAAGCTTCGAAAATGTGATTAAAAGAGTGTACATCAAAATGTATCTGTGTAATTCTTGAATGGTTTTTGTTACGCCTTGAATTTGTAACGGAAATTCATAAATACAGTTTATGTGACAGCAGCGACCCGTGCACGAGACAAGTCCCGAGCATGAGTCTAGCTTGACACTTCATATCACAGAGCTTATCTCAATACATATATAAACTTGCTGATGATAGAAGTTTAGAGCCACTATATATATAATCTGTACTTACAGTCCACAAGCTCACGTTACAAAATTTCACAAGTAAAGCATATCGTTGACTGTGTGAAACACCAAAGAGGAGGTTTTTCTTATAATGCCTCTCAGCGACGTGCCACAACCAAAAGTTCAGCTTATAATATAGCTAGGCGAGATCAGAAAAAAAAAACAGGGTGAGCTAGGGTTCAGTGAGAACATTTTCCACTAGAGTACTTAGATAACTAACAAAATGATAATAAGAATAATTCCCAGAAATATCGCATTATAAGTTTTGCACCAGAAATTCAAAAGAATTGCAAGTATGGTCCAAACGACATACTATTGATATTTTTATGGATGAATGTAATAGTTTATATTTCTTTCTCATTTGCAAACTAAATGTATTGTGATATATTCCAAAATCAAACCCCTTTTTGAATCAAGGTAAATAGTAAGAAAGAAAAAGAAGTACAAAATTTGTACAAAACCAGAGGATTATTATTTTCTCAATGTCACAGTCAATTGTCAGAATCTTAAATCTCGATGAGTCATTCGTGAATGTGAAAATTACCTCACAGGTCACACAAAGGCTACAAATTATAACCCAGTAGCATGAGAATGCATAAAATGCATAAAATGCATCACATAATAGATAATTTCCGAGAATTGAATACACCTATTACTGCCATAGGTTACCTTATCAAATACAGAAGGGCCAGAACAAATTTTAGAAGGGTCAATACAGAGGGGCCAAATAAAGGTGCATTCACCATATGACAGGCAAAATCACTCCATAGTGGACTTTTTAAAGATTTGTAAACATTAAGAATCACTTGTCAAATCAGAAATACATTGCTTATCAGAATTTACAAATATTTTCAAATGAAGGGGATGAGGATAAAACTTATCATCCCAGTTAAAATAGTTTATGGATTTCACTTTTCTCTACTTTTATCAGATACTAAGCCACAAAAAATCTTTGAATCCATTAAACTGTCGAAACACGTTCAAAATATTTCTTTTCTTCAAAAGCTTTCAAATAAAGCAATACCCACAATTATTTAAAATTGCATGAAAACCAAATTCACTTTTCATAGTTCATATAAAATCAAATTAATTTTTCATATCTTGTACGAAATCAATGTCCTATTATGATCACAACAGAAGTAGATCAAATCACCTTTAACTTTATATACATAAAAATGATATATTATTTATTTTTTGATCACAAGATAAATCAAATATAACACATGCAATTTCATATTATATAATACTAGTGAGAAATGAACTCACCTCTAGTGGTCACGACTTCCTCAAAATATTATTCTCCTGAATACCAACCAAAACCTATAATAGGAAGATATAAAGCTAATATTAACTCATGACAACATATATTATAGGTTAATCAATTTATAATCAAGAGCCAATAAATTCAAATATAATTAATAACAATTAAAATCTATAAATAAGGTGCATATGAGCTTATTGCTAATTTTAGCAATTTATCAAAATTTTATTACCCTCATATACTAGCTTTTGGACTTCCTAACAATTTATGATAAGGCAAGGGGTTATAGGGAATTAATCAAGCCTAAAAGTTATCTTTTATTCTTCAGATTGGACTTGTTTACAAACAGAGTAAATAACAGGGGTCTATACGTAATTATATTGTTTATATATGATTCTAGATTTCTCTGTTAGGGTTTATTTACGAATCTTTGTGGCTTTTAGGGACTTAGAATGAATTCTTAGGTCACAACTCTCTATCCTTCACTCAAGAGGGTTTATTAGTTAAGCTAAAATAACTTGGGGGGTCTTGATAAATTTTCCTCCCTTTATGTTGCTCTATATCTGATCGTCTTCCTCCATCCTTTCTTTTTTTTTTTTTCTTTCGTTCCTCTTTTCCCTTTTTTTTTCCGGCTAGATGGTCTGAGGCATCTCTCTCTCTCCCTCTCACCCTCTCACACACTCTCTCGCCATGGCGATAGGACGGCGATAGGGAATCGTCGGTGACCAGGAGCGGTCGGCGGCAATACCCCCGTCAGATTTAGGGTTAGTATTTTTCTTTATTATTATTATTATTATTATTTATAAAAGCAATTACACAAATCTTTAGCAAAATATCAAAACATCATTCTATTTGGTTCCTATGACAAATTTACTTCTTCTAAATCAAGAAACTTCAGATCAATCATGAGGATTGGGTTATACCTCAATTGACGATGAACTTGGGGTGCTATTCAAGCTTCCTCTCCTCTCCTACACCTCCGTTCTCCTAATTGTTTAGTTTATGGTTTGAAAATGAAGCGGTGAGTTTGTGAGATAGAGAAATGATGGGTTCTGAGCTGTTATGGATTTCATAGAGCTTGGGTTTTCATAGATTAACTGGAAACTAGTATTTAGACTCGTGCAAAGCACGGTTTCTAAAAAAATTAATGCAAATATTGAACATGTTACCAAAATAAAGTATTCTGCTTTAGATATGAATTATAGGGGTGCTTTTTGTTTTTTTATTCGTTCAGATATTCGATCAAGTTTGATTCAATAGTTTATTTAGTACTAAGCAAATAATTTTCAGTGTTTGACTTATAAATTAAGCCAATAGCTTCAGTGCTCTTTTGTAGTACCGATGACATCCTCTGTAATTTTTACCCGGGTTTTCTCCCTCACATTCCTATGTTATAGGATATGTGATCTAGCACCTATTTTTGTAAATAACTATAACTTGTAAGATATGAATAAGGTTACATTAGGAATTAAATATAAGAATATAGACAAATAACTTGTAAGATATGAATAAGGTTACATTAGGAATTAAATATAAGAATATAGACAAATTTTAAGAATATTTGGGTAGGTATTTTTCTCCTTTCCTTTTTAGGAATTAAATATAAGAATATAGACAAATTTTAAGAATATTTGGGTAGGTATTTTTCTCCTTTCCTTATAAAAATTTAATGCTGATAAAATTTTTTATACTATACTTATCTTGTTTTCTAGGGTGAAATATAAACATGGTTTGAAGCAAAATTGAAAAAACTATTCTCAAATAAATAATAGATGATAATCACTTCAATAAATTTGAGATAAATACTTATAGCCTATTTTAGATAATCGGAGATAAATTGCAAGTTGTTTTCTTGTAAATTTTAAAATAGTCAACAATAAATGACAACCTTTTTTAGATTCCTCTTCCCCATCATCAAGGCAAAGAACTACAGCAGGCATCAAATCATTCGCCTGCCACCTCTTCGACCTCCGTTTTCTACAAAACCCAGAACACTCATTTCAATAAAACCCAACAAAATTGAAAGAAAAAGAAACGCCATCTTTATTATTATTATTTTTAATCAAATTCAAAGAGGTAACTTGAACTGGACATAAGAATATGCTTGTACAGTACTAAGTCCCGTATAATTGGTTGACAAAAGAAATGTCAAAAAGGGTTTAAAATGACATGTTGCCTAGCTTTCTAGGTGAACATTTAGTAATCCATGACACCAATATCTATTCGATATAATAGTTTCTCAAAAAAAGTAATAAAATAAAATAAAACACAGTAAGGATCATGACATCTACAGAATCAAAATATCGATACATATATACCACTACAGTTTGTCTCACTCATATTCTTCAATGTGGACTACAATTAAGAATAGTTTCTACATGACTGCTCGATGCATTAAGCCGCAATAATTTCTACCTTGATGACATGTGACAAATATTATTCATAAAGGAAATATGAAGTCCCAATGTTCTATTAGGGCTGTGAATTTTTTTTATAAAAAAAGATAAATGGAAAACTTAACCTCAATGTCACTCGAATGGTTTGTGCAGTAAAGTTCCATTTGTAAGTTATGAGGTTGCCTCCCAACCGCAATCTCCTCTGGAGTCATATACCAACGACATCTCATCCAAAAGCTCCCATCAGGTTCTTTCCATAACCTAGAGGTAGCCAAGCAGTCCAAAACATGAATAAATAATATACTTCATATTGTTAATTATTCAACTGAATCACATTTAACTCGTAAATTATATTTCCATGATCCACTTATTTTCATTAAAACAGCCCAAAGCATTGCACAGAGAACAAAAGGTCCACAAAATAACAATTCACTAAACTCCAAGTTCCTCAATAATTTCACAGTCACTCTATAAAATCTCAGATATATAACTCTATCTAGTTAGATCTTGTTCTGCTCATCTTCAACAAATATGATAAATATGATAAATAAATTATAAATCTCCTTAATGCGTAGTTATGAATTCATCAAAACCTATGCTTATATTGATTCCACATCCTCAATAAATCCAAAGTATTCACATAACCACACATATATAGGACAAATCGAACAAATCAATCCAACTCAAAGTTCCCGTAGAATGAAAAAAAAAACGAATTCCTCAACTAAACCTCACCGGAGAAATGAGACCCATAAATCAAATCTCAATATTATCCCCAAAATTACGACTTCTTTAAACTCGAAAAAGTTACCTCTTTTCCTCTCTTGCCGAGCCCTAGTCCTTGAGTTCTGAGCGAGGCCGCCATCAGACAAGTACCCATTATCTGTAGAGCTCTGATTCGCTGAGCACGACACCAAATCCACAATACACTTGCTTTCTCATCGCCTCCTCGATTGGTTCCTCGACCATCGCCTCGATTAGGACGCCAAATAGCTTCAGTCCCTTCTCCTTCTCCATCACAACGATGTCCCAAATGTTGATGCAGCAATCTTATTGGGTTTTTAATCGAGACGTTGAGTAATCGCCGTTCCTCATCCACTCCGAGTTGTCGACGCAGATCATCGTAGCCTGGGATTTTCAATCTTCGATCGTTTGTAAAAAACTCTAAAGAGTTAAAAAATAAGATGAGGGATTGATTGCAGACCTCGAGAACCATGGCGATTAGAAGAGTGAGGAGCGAGTAGCGTTGGGAGAAGCAGAGATCGATGGAAAAAGAATTTAGAGAGCGAGGAAACGGTAGCGATGGGAGGTTGGAATATGTAGAGAAAAGAGTGGATCTGGAGAGGAGAGGTTGGTTAGATAGAAAAGGGGCGGTTTTGGTTCTGAAACGTGGGGAGTTCGGACGGTTTTGGTGAATTAACTCAACAATGGACGGTTGTGGAGAATTGAGGGGAAAATACGTGGAAAATTTAAAAATTTACTGTTCATTTTAGCTTTTTTGTTGTTCTCCTTCAGTAATAAAGGAGTAGATAAACACGTCTCCTGGCCATCCCAAGTTTCCAATGAAAAGAGGCCAACAAATATCCAAGACGCTGTAAACGGGACAGCTTGGTTGGTGATATTTTTGCAAGAAAACCCTTATTTAATACTTTATTTGCATATCCTTCTATTTATAAAAATTTAAAATTATTTTCCTTGTTTAGGTCATTACATTCTTCCCTGCTTACAAAGAGTTTCATCCTCAAAACTTAACAGATCTATATCTCGAAAGAGCTTTGGATATCTCTCTTGCATAAAATCTTCTATTTCCCAAGTGGCTTCTCTTTCAGAGTGATTCTTCCATTGAACTTTCATATATTTGATTATTCGATGTCTAAGTACTTGTTCCTTATAATCCACAATATGTTCTGGTCTTTCCTCATAGGTCAAGTCTTGCTTGAGCTCCACTGGAGACAACTCAACAATCACACTTGGATCTCGGATGAACTTTCGAAGCATCAATATGTAAAATACATTGTGTACTCCAAATAAGGATGATGATAATGCTAATCTGTACGCCACTGGACCAACGCGTTTCAGAATTTTAAAAGGACCGATAAATCTCGGGCTTAACTTTTCTTGGATTCCAAATCTTTTCACTCCACGGGTAGGCGAGATTTTTAAGAAGACATGATCACCAACCTGAAACTCTAATTTTCTCATTTTTTTGTCAGCATAACTCTTCTAACGACTCTGTGCAGTGCGAAGACGTTCTTTAACTAATTGAATCTTAGCAATTGCTTGTTGCACCAATTCTGGTCTAAGAAGTTCTCTTTCTCTAATATCATCCTAATATCATCCTAATGAATAGGAGACCTGCACTTTCTTCCATAAAAAGTTCATATAGTGTCATCTGAATACTAGCTTGGTAGCTGTTATTGTATGCAAACTCGGCCAAAGGCAGATAATCTTCCCATGACCTTTTCATTTCCAATACACAATATCTCAACATATCTTCTAGTGTTTGAATTGTTCGTTCTGATTAGTCATCTGTCTGTGGATGGTAAGCTAAGCTGAATTTTAGTTTAGTCTGCAGAGCTCTATGTACAGTTTTTCAGTATTCTGATGTGAGCGTAGGATCTCGGTCAGAACTATTGATATTGGTACACCATGCAATCTCTATCTCATTAATGTATATTTTAGTTAGTTTTTCTAATAAAAATTTCATATTGATAGGTAAAAAATGTGTTGACTTTGTCAACCGGTCAACAATCACCCATATTGCATTATTCTTTCTCAAAGATTTCGGAAGGCCAGTGACGAAATCCATGATGATCTTTTTCCATTTTCATATTGGTACGTCCAAGTTATGGACTAATCTAGCTGGTCTTTGGTGCTCAGCCTTTACTTGCTCGCAAGTGAAACATTCTGCAACATATGTAGCAATTTTCGTCTTCATATTATTTCACCAATATATTTCCTTCAAGGTTATTATACATTTTTGTTGATCCAGGATGCATAGTATACAGAGAGTGATGTGCCTCATTTAATCTTTTTTTATCTCTGGTATGTTAGGCACACAAACTCTAGTTTCAAACCTCAAGGATCCGTCTTTATGTATCTTAAATTCTCTTCGATTGCCTTCTTCTACCTCTTTCTTTATCTTCACCAGTCGAGGATCATTATGTTGGTTTACTTTAATTTCATCTAGCAAAGAAGGTTGTATTACCATTTTTGCTAATTTAACTCTAATTTGGTGAACTCTAATTTTAATTCCAGTATATTCGACTATCAGAGTTAGACATTGGATCTGGATCGATATCACTAGTCCTCCATCTTTCAAGATCGAGGTCTGCACCAATACCCAGGATATTCGACTCACCCTCAGAGGAGGCAAATCCTTGGTCATCCTTAGAAATCTTAGCTACATGAGACTCCATACCGGAGGGGTCAGATAAAATCATAATGATTTTAGAGGGTGAGGACTCTATGGAAATAACTTTTACCACTGACTCATCCTCATCAAAGAGATTAGTCTCAGACTCGGAAGAATCTACTGATATGATCTTTACTGACTCTATATCAGAGGAATTTGTCATCTCACGATCAACCAAAATCTCCTATGGGCCAGTCTCGTCAGAATCATACTCCCAGTCTTTTTGGCTGGGTTCCCAAGAGTTGTCTATTGAGGTTGCATAGTTAGAACGGGTGTCTGAGAAACTGGTTGATGAATGTGTCACCGCCATCCTACAAAAGAGGGACCATCCATCAGCATACTAAAATAAAAGGACAAAAATAAAATAAAATAAACAGGTATTAAGAAATATTAGAAAATTCTAAAATGAAATAAGGTCAACTAAATCCCATACGTACCCTCCTTAAATATGTAAAAGACCTTACTATAAAACATTTATATGCATACACGTATGTACATATGTATACAAATATGTATGCCACATAATTAATCCATACGATAACACTCATCTAGTGCATATACACTATGTTACGTGCCCTACCTAGGCTCTGATAGCTTAACTCATGCTCGGGACTTGTCTCGTGCACGGGTTGCTGCTGTCATGTAAACCGTATTTATGAATTTCCGCTGCAAATTCAGGGCGTGACAGTTTCAGTTCTTTAGAGAAGTCTATATGATCAGTTCAGTTCAATTTGCTTCTGAGTTTTGTTCAAGTTCTACAATTGATGCTTCCTTTTGTATTTGTCAAACGTTTTTGAGAAAACTTCCTCAAACCAGTTTCTGTATGCGAAAATTCTCAAGCATCTAAGAAAATTATGAAACTATCAAGCGTTTTTATCTGCATCCATGCCCAGGGGACTGAGCATCTGATCCCTACACCGCGAATTCTGAGACTGATGGTGTACGAAGACACGAAGGAGATGAATTAGGTGAAGGAGTCAGGGGAGAGTGCAGTAGAGACTGCTTATAGGTTGATAACTGATATTAAGAGGAGAGTATCTCCTGTGAAATCTTAGTATAGATCAGAGGGAGAGTATGTGCAGTTAATATGAAGTAGTTTGATTGCTTATGAAAGGAAAATTTTGGTGCAAATAGAATTAGTGAATAGTAGGTAAGTTGCTTGTGATTCTCTGTTAATTTTGTTGCAACGTTATCAGGTTATGCTGAGGATTTCGAGATTCTAGGAGACTGAGGCAGTTTATTTTTACCGAGGATAAGTGAACTAGTACCATGTTGGTAATTCTTTACTTTAGAATCTATATGTTTGAAATTCCTTGTCCTGCTTTTACCAATCTAAGAATTATAGATTGCGCTTCGTTTGTTTATGTGACATTGTTGTTGAATCTGCCATTGTATTTTTTTTGCAGGCTGCTCCTGGATGTGCGATCCCCGTGATTGATATCTAAAATTCTATGCACCTTCTTGCACAAGTCTCCTGGGATGCAAAGAGCTCTGATATCAAATGTTGGGAGTGGAATAGCTCTCGTACCAATTATTGAAATTAGAAGAGTAGTAAAAGTTTTGCCTCTTCCGTGTATGTAAGACAACTTGATGAACCATGTTAAAAGTTTTTGTTTGTGTGACAGTGTTCGTTTTATTTGTTCATCATCAAGGTGTTTTCGATACTCTGACCAAATCGCAACAAAGTCATGCGTACACATTTGATCGGTGGGGCGCCAAAGCAGCCGCATCATAATTGGTGGTGCTGAGCCTGAGGCTAATCTGGGATGTCTTTCGTAGCCAGAATGTTAAGGAGCGCAAATGAAAGCTACAGGAGCCTGAATAGAAAAAAGTGATAATGTCAGTTGTTGTAGTTTAGGAACTCAAGGAGTTGCAGAGTTTTTTGGATACTGAATTCATTGTCTGATTCTGTTGTCTGATAAAAGTGGTCTCAAAGGGTAATCAATTCCTGTGTTTGGTGATTTTATTACATATCTACTCCTCTATACATTTTGTAGCATTATTACTGTAGCAAAACAGGAAACGAGATGCTATAGCAATATTTTAAAAATTATTACTGTAGTATACGGGAATACCGTAGCATTTTTTTTTGAAAAACCTGTAGCAGATGCAGGATACTGAGTAACTTAAAAATCCAAAAATATTACTGTAGCATTTAACTGGAATTATTGTAGCAGAGAAAAAAAAATGATATGCTGTGCTTTCCACGGTGTCACGGTGTTCACACTAGTTTAGGGAATGAGAGATTCATATTCATAACTTGTTCAGGAAATTTAGGTGATGTGATAAATGAAGTGTATGATTTCTCAAAGGAATCCTTGGGTTGAAGTGACCATAATTTATGTTTTTATTGGTTGAACTGTAAAATCCAAATTCATATATCTCAGCTCACATCACCTCAATTGTCTAAACTATCAAGATCATAGAAGAGAAGGCTGTAAAGTTTGTATCGATCATAAGACCTGTACAAATTTAGCTAGAGCGAGAGAGATCAAACCCCTCACTCTCAAATCATCATTTCGTAGCCTTAAGTTACCATCATGGTTCATCTGTGAAAGATCAACGAAAATTTTCAATTGGCAGTCAATGAGGCTTCGAATATGCGCCATAAACCATGAATCCTTGAAGATAGATGCCTACATTATTGATCATGTAATTTAAGTTCATATGTCCGAAGGCACATGATCTTTTAGAACAATCCTAGATCAAAAAGTCAGTAGGAGAAGATATCAAAACATTTAAACTGCAAATAATTGGTGAAGGAGAAACCTGTTATTAGCGTATCAGTTGTAAAACCTGGAAGTACCCATCAGCAAGTTTCCTTTCATCACCACATCTTCATTTACCGGTAAATTTTATACATAACAGATAATCGAGGAGAAACACACTAATTACTGAGACGACAACCCTCAAATGCTCTCCGTTTCATTAGTCTGTCTTTGGCTCTTGGCATAAAAGCATCAGTGGCAGAAAAGAGTGCGCTCAGTTTTTTCTTCTAAGAAACGAAGTTCAGGTCTAAACTTGAATGATGTGAAGTTCGGTTGAAGCCCAATCTCTTTACGTTTCAATCAGTCCTACAGAATATTCAAGCGATAAATCAGGATTACCCATGACTATTCTTGTAAGATCTTAATTCAACATAAGTTAATAAAATACTAAAAATGGAAATTATAGCTAAAATCATGTGGTACTCAAAGCGGCATATTTTCTCCTGTATGAATGAGGCGCAATGTATTTATAATATTTGATTAGAAATATGAGTCGGTATTACAATATCAGTCAACATACGTGATCATAAGCCAAAAAAAAGATATTAACTGATAAACAGGCATTGTAACAGTGTTATTACTACTGAAAAACTATCTGAAATCAAAGAGCAAGAACTAGGCAAAGAGAGAGAGTTGCTCTTGATTTTGTTTATTATTATGGAAATGTGTCAGGGCTCTCCAGTTTTGATGAAAGTAATCGCCCACCGACAGAAAACGTCGCGTGTTCCTTCCCTTGGGATAACAAAAGCTTTGCTAATGAGAGTTTCGGCATACCTCTTCAGGGTTTCAGTTACTGAACTTCTGTACTCTGACAATCATGGTATCACAACCCTAGATTGAACCAAAGTAGATTAAAGAGAAATAGAGTGAGAAAGTTTGAGGTAAGCATTTCCAACAACATCAAGAAAACAAAACCAAATTAATAAACAAATAGCTGTTTGTCGGATAGCATACCTTCAACTGTGGAAGACGGTAAGTGAGCATCAACTATACAACCAAATTAATAAACAAAGATCTAGAACCACGATTTCCTGCACAGAAGAATATCTACTATATGTATCATAGTATTCTGAACAATTTTCTTGCTCTTGGACTTTAGAACCACGATTTCCTGCACAGAAGAATATCTACTATATGTATCATAGTATTCTGAACAATTTTCTTGCTCTTGGACTTTAGAACCACGATTTCCTGCACAGAAGAATATCTACTATATGTATCATAGTATTCTGAACAATTTTCTTGCTCTTGGACTTTAGAACCACTTTTCTCAGTCTTCTCCAAATTATGTGCACTATTCAACTTACATCTGATAGTAAGTGCTGTAATCTAACTCCTGCAGATATACCCATGTAAATTAAACAGTAGTTACCTTACTTCACGATTTAGAAATATACAAAAGATTGAATGTGTTAACATGCTTCCTAGTTCGTATAGATACACAGGTGATGAAATTACCTCTAAGTGGGACAGTCAAGCGTGAAAGCATGTATGCACTCATCAATCCCGTGGATTGTTAAGGCATGGTACTTGACAATGATCTGCGTATAATGAGCAAAAAAGTATCCATTACCTTTGGATAAGTCTGGGTCAAGAATTATTGACGTTAGCCCGAACTAATTCGTTGGAGGTTGCGAAATCAAACAACACTTGGCTAACAGTTGACTTAGCATCATATGCTTATATTTTTCACCAGTTGATCCTGGACTCAGCCATTCATACGTGATAGATATCATCTACAGGCTTAAGAACCGCAGTTAGCAGCATCATTTGTTGTTTTGAAGATTACAGCTCTTGCTCCTGAGACACGAAAGCTTATAATGTGAAGCTTTGCTGCATCAGAAACACATTTCAGACACGATCCTTTTGCCATGGGCCATGTACTTGGAAACACTAACTTGATTTCCTTTATCATGGCTAGCAACATTTTCGGAGAGCTCCATCTACTTTTCTCTCAGAGAATCATGAACCAAAAGTCATTCTTGTTCATTTTGTTCTTGTTCTTCACAAAAGCTCTCTATGCATTCAAACACCTGTAGGATTTTGGATCAAATTCATCCATGCCCAAGAGTATATGGCATCAATAGGAACATAGAGTTTCTTGCCTAGCATCCTTGAGCCCATAGTCAACATTTATAGGTGCACAACCAGCAAATTTCATTTGCCTATGCAACCACAACAAGGTCTCAGATATTGTATCTATTTGTGGGTGCGATTTTTCACCAACTTCGAATGCATGAAGCTTTTTTCCAATTTGAATCCAACTGCATCTTTGGTTCCTCAATCCAATTTCTTTCATCAATTCTCTCAAAATAGAATCTCTCCCCCACTTTCCCAAAGAAACATATTCACTTAAAATATTTGTGTAATTCACTGAGTAAACAGGTTCTGACTCCAATATACAGCTTAATAAACATTGTGATAGTTTTGTTTCTTGATCTTCTTTATACGCATCAAGTGAAGATCCTAATATCTGGGAGTCAACATCAAGTTGCATAGATGATAAAACCTTGAGTGTCTCATTGAAATTACCACAATCTAGAAGTTTTATCAAATAGCCATAATCCTCCTTCCTTGGTATCATGTGATATTTGCTAACCATCTCCATGAAAATATTGAGACCGTCATCGATAAGACCTGCACTACTGCAAGCTGATAAAAGCATTGTAAAGGTTGTATCAATTGGATCTATCCCTTGCTTATGCATATCTTTATAAAGTTCAAGAGCTTCTTTAGCTTTACCCCAAAATGACAGTCCACATATCATCACATTGAATAGAGAGATGTCCTTATCCAACACAAAATCAAATACCTTGCTTGCAAGATTTATGCTTCCACATTTGCTATACATGTCTATGAGAGATGATATAATGGAGAGAGATGAAAGGAGCCCTCTTCTCATTATATGACCATGAATAGCCCTTCCATATGTCAGAGACATTGTATTTGAACAGGCTAAGAGTACCCCAATAATGCTTATAGAATTTGGCCTAAGGCCTGTAGATTGCATTTTAACGAAGAACTTAATTGCTTCATATCCACATCCCTTTTGAACTAAGCCAAATATGAAAAGAACCCATGTGACAAAATTAGGACTCAGTCCATTGAGTGTCATCTTAGAGAGCATATCGTGAGCCTCTTCGATCTGTCCATTCTTCACAAACCCTAGCATGACAGAATTCCATGATGTCAAATTTGGAGGCACACCTTCAAGTTGCATCTGATAAAATTTTTTTAAAGCCTCCCCACTTAGCCCAGACTGTGCATAAGCAAAAACTAACGAATTCCATAAAACCAAATCCTTTGAGGTTGCCAAATCAAAGACCCTCTGTGAATATTTTAGCCTCCCACAACTTGCATAGAAATCTATTGCGCTACTTGCAACAGCTAAATCATATTCAAGATGGTTTCGAATGCAATAGGCATGACTAGTTCTTCCAAGTTCGATCATGCCAGCATCTGAACAAGCTGATAGGATTGATGCTAAAGTCACAGAATCAAATTTCAAGTTCTCCTTTCTCATCTGATGACAAGTACTTATAGCTTTCTCATTATGACCATATAGTACATAAGCCGAAATCAACACGTTCCAAGTCACTACATCTCTTTCCACCATGAGATCAAATATCATCTCAGCGTCTTCAATCATAGCGAGCTTACAGTAGAAGTTAATAAGCGAAGTGCCTAAAATATTATCAAGTTCTAAACCATATAACACTGCAATGCCATGAGCTTGTCTACCTTTCTCCAGAGCCTCCAAATTAGCAGATGCAGAAAGGAAACTTGCAATACTAACTCTAGTAGGCTCAACACCATCAATTCTCATATCATAGAACATTTCCAATGCCTCCTCATCTAACCCATTTTGTACCAACCCCACAAGCAGAGAGTTCCAAGTAATAGCATTTCTCTCAGGCATTTCTTCGAATATTTTCTTCGCATCCCTCAAAACCCCACATTTCCCATAAAAATCCACCAAACTGCTCAAAACATAGACACAAGACCCAAAACCCAGCTTCAAAACATACCCATGAACCCCTCTTCCAAACCCAATCCACTGAAGAGCCGAACAAGCTCTCAGAGCATTCGGGATGACGAAATTATCAGGAAAAGCCCTGATTTCAACCATTCTGCAGAAGCACACCAGAGCTTTCTCATGGAAACCTTGCCTAGAGTGTAGACCAATCATCGCAGCCCAAGAGAAGACATTGGGTTTTCTCAGCCGGAGGAACAACTCCTCGGCTATCGACAAGCGATCACATTTTGCATAAAAGATCAAGAATTTCGTCTCAATGTACTCGTTCTTGTAGAAATACGCACCATTTTTTATGATTCTAGCATGAACTTGTTGGCCCTGGGAGAAAGCTCGCTCGTAAACGCAGCCTTGAAGGAGCTCCCCATATATCTCCGGGCCGATGGGGAGGTCATCGGACTCCATCTGGTTGAAGAGGGAGAAGGCATCATGCAGATGGCCGTCCCTGCAGAGAGAGGAGATTTGCTGGAGATAGGATTTTGATGAATTTTGAGAGGCTTTGAAGTTTTTGAGAGGTTTAGATGCTTGGGTTTTGGAGAAATTGGTGGGCTTTTGTGGAATTGTAGGGTTCTGGGGGGAAGAGGGAGGTTTTGCCGCTGTTGGAAGAGGGAGAGAAGCCATTGGAGAAGAGAGGGAGAGAGAATGGATAGGGGTTAGTTATGTTCGGTACAGGCTTAGTACTCTTGAGATAGTAGGATACATTGAGGGCAGTTTGGTCATTTCGGAACAGTAGTACATTACAATGAGGATGTTGTGTATTTTGGTCAAGAACAGTGTGGTAGATATGTGGATATATACACTAGGAGATAGGATAAAAAAATTAGCGCCATTTGGAGATTTCTCATATTTAGGATAAAAAATTAGCGCCATTTGGAGATTTCTCATATTTAGGATAGAAGCAGAGAATGCATTGTAAGTGAATTAACAAGATTATGGGCATGCTTGTGGGAGTTGGAGGCTGCATGAGAATTCTAATGTAGGTATTTCTAGAAACAAGTTTCTTTGTTGTTTGTTTCGGCATGGAAATGTGGTGAGAAAATATTTTCTATCCCATTCCCTTGTTTGGTTTAAAAAGCCAAAAACAAGAAAACATTTGAGCTGGAAACATTTCGATCATTGCTTAACTATCATATTTTAACAAGTCCCCAAATCATTCCATTACTTAAATATTAAAGCTCATATTTCCAAGTATAGCTCAAACCGCTGCCAAAATCGACTAGCCGATATTACACTCGAGTCTTGGGCTGACCTATTTAAACCACTAAAATTTTTCACTCATTTCCCGATGTGGCACTATTCACACTTTGGCGCATCACGGTACTTTTCATACCCACTTCTATATATGCTATTACAAAGTGAACAAGAAAGAAGCAAGTATTTCAAATCTGGTAAATACGTGCGTAGAAATTGAACCACCAATTGTGATGTTCTTCTCTCCTGCCGCAAAAAAATCACACATATATCCTCTTTATTAGATCTAAAACTTATCATAAAAAAAAACCATGACCACTTGGAGAAGGACCAGTCAGTAAAGACACATAATTATTAGATGTTACGTCGCCAACCAGGATTACAACATATACTATGAAAAAGTATTGGTTATTGTAGACAATATAGCAATAAAAATTCTCCTTGAATATGAAAAATATGCCTCCAAGAAGAAGAGGAAGGGGAAGAGGATCTCTTCAAATCTGGCGCTATCTTTTGTTGAAGTTAAGGAATTTTATGCCTGCGGCGAAAACAAGAGCAAAGAAGACACCAAAGCATGCGATCACAATTGCTACAATCGGCAAGAGGTCGTGTCTGAACCCGAAATAACTCCTCAAGAACTGTTCTACCGTCTCCCCACTCTCGAGAGTATCCTGTACATCTCCAAATTGTGATGTAACCATTCCATATAATGTCCATGCAACAGGACACAACCAATAATACCATCTCCACCACACAGGCATTCTCTGCAAAAAAAAAATTATAAATTATTTTTTATCTCATATTATATCGAGACAAATGGGGGTAAGTTTCATGAAACTTCTGAACTATGGGGCTTATGAATTAGAGAAAAATCGCTTTGAATTTGTTTCGATAATGTACCATGACCATAGTTGTCGGGATTGTGGGATGCCGTCGCGAACGGCAACCCAGGTTCAGTTATCCCAAAATAAGAAACATTAGCGAATTGGAGCGTGATGGAACAAGACCTGGTTCGCTAATTCCGGTAACCCGAATTAGAATTCAAATCAGTTAAATTTTTTAACAAAGTAGCTATTACTTAGAAAACTAAACAACAAAAAACGCGACGAAATAAGCAGATAAAGTATGCATGTCTTCATTGCAATATGATTCTCAAAGTTGTTTTAACATGAACTGATATCAACAAACATATTTCTTGAATTTTACTCTTGGAGATCCTCAAATTCCTATATTTAAAGAGCTTTGCTTTGGTGTTCCAATAACAAAGTTTTTTTAAATTTTTTTTAAATTGATAAAAATGGAGAATAGGCTTTAAAATGGGAAGGGCACATGGGTCTTTTCGTTTATTTTATCTTAATTTGTTTCTATCCAAAAAAACTGTTTAGCTCTCTTTAAATACATAAACTTCTGATTACTTTTTAGGAATAATTTCATTGTATAAATGGGTAGAGGATTCGAAATGTTTATCTATATATGCGGAAATTTTTACAGGAAAAAAAGTTATCCAGCCTTAATTAAACAGAAAGGGAAAAAGAAAAATCTATGGTATCTTATCTGTACTAAAATTGTAAGTAGGTAGAATGTAGAAAGAAAAGGCTTAGTTGATTTATCTCCGACCTTCAAAATCGAAAAGCCATATTGTGGAATCTCATCTATAACGAAAATTTAAAGGAAATTAAAATTTGGTGGAGACTCTAAAAGTTCTGTTATAACCAATCATAAATTTTGTTCCTCTTCTTATTTGTACTTCCTAAAATAACCTTATTATCTAAGTAAATTACAATTTTGGGTGTGGAACACCTCTCACCATCTTATCCCTTAAATTCGGGATGTGAGAGAAATTTTGATGGGGAAAATTTACAAAATATACAATCGGTACCCAATTGGAGCACCAAAGCTATTGGAATATTTAAAAACCTAACCTAAAGCGTACCATGCTCTGGAACGTACTTTATAAGCCTACCCCGTCATTCCTAATGCCAGATAAGTGGTGTCCCACATTCCCATTCTCGTTCAATGACCCAAAATGAATCACATTCCATGCAACTAAGACCATAACTGATGACAGTCAGTTTAAGTTGTCACGTGGAAAGCACATGACATGTTTTGGATGATTTTGCCCTTGTGTACATTTAAACTTTAGTGAAGGGAGTCTAATTTTATAAAGTTAAGTGAGTTTATGCAAAACACGCCAAAATTCAGAAGTTTTATGAAATTTACCCAAAAAGATAGGAGGAAAGAGTTCAAAGGACCTTTACCGTTCTTGGTATGACAAATCCAGAGAAAAGGCTCCATAGCCCGTAAAATGCAGAAGAAACTATAGCACCAACGGTATATGTAGGAGTCAAGCCTACTGCCATCATACCGTAGAATGTGTAGTATAGAAGTGTTAGAAACGAGAAAAGCAGGTACCATAAGAACTTAACCGCCTTCCATTCAAACCCAATCATTGAATACACAATAAGAGAATACATCGTAGACTGAACGAATACGTATGGGATCTCAACTGCAACCTGAGATATCATGTGAGGTATCATATGTGTTAGATACTTTCAAGAATAAACAAAAAATTCAGATTGTCTAAAGTATGAAGAATGATATGTACTTGTCCAGTTTTCTCAACAGCCACAACTGGTTGAACTGATGATGCATATGAAATACCCATAAAGAGGACAGCTGCATACATAGAACCCATAGCATTGAACAAGTCCTGATGTTTGGTCCTGCATTAGAATTACAAATCAAAGAATGCGGTTAAAAGAAAATATTTCATATGTAAAAAGTTCTTATATATATTGACATACCTTTTTGAGCCAAGACCCCAGAATATAGACCCGAACAGTATTGCTATCATCAATGTGAAGAAAAATCTTACTGAAGTGTATGGAGGGTTCCTCCAATATGACAGCCACTGCTTCCATAGGCAAGCGATGCACTGAGTACTGAAGGATTGTGAGTACTGAGTTGGGAAATTGAGGTCACTTGATCCAGGAGGAGGCACACTTAGATCGTTAATCAGTGCTTTATTCATCCTGTAATGTGATAGATTGATATGTTAGAGCTACAGATTTTGATATTCTAAAGGGGCATCAAATTGGTTACTCACTTATACAATTCTGAGTTTTTGTATACTTCAACAAAATTGATCCCCAGTATCTCCTCTTGTGACAATGCCGTCACTTCCAACATCCATGTTGCCGGATTATATCCATCTTTGATCTTACTGATTCCTTCTATACTCTAAATAAAATAACCCCAATATATTACGAACTACAGCAAGAGTGATACACATAATGGGGAAAAAAACTTGAAGGAGATGATAAGGTGTAAGACATACACCATCAACATTATGTGAGTAACTACCCCATATATGTTGAGAGGGGGTGGAAGTGATACATCTAATGCTAAAAAATGGGCAGGAAAATGAAGAAAAAGGAAAGGGGGGAAAAACACTCCTAATGTAAATCATCGAGTTCCCTTACCTCATAGTAATTGATTAGATGGCAAGAATGATGCCCAAGAGGACCAACATATATCTCCTCTCCTCCTCGCTTCATCAAGAAGAGCTGAAAATCAAACCGAGGATAAATATAAAAAGACCATTCCCTGTTTGAATTAAAAAAAATTCAAACATATAGAAGGGCTAATTGCGAATAGATCCTTGTGCTATCGTCAAGTTGAAACTTACTACCCCTGTAGTTCTATAATGCAGATAGACCCTCTGCGTGAATTTTTTTTTGACTTGTTCAGGAGGACTATCTGCAACAATAGATTTTCATTCGGGGGGATCTATCTGAAAAATAGAACTCTTTCAGGAGGTTTATCTATAACAATATAACTCTTTGGGGGTCAATATGCAATTAACGCAAATGCAAATCATAAAGAAAAAGACGCTAATTCACTTCAGCAGTGACTAACCTCATCAAAAGCCTCAAATATATCAATGCTAGGCTGGTGAATTGTGCACACCACAGTTCTTCCAGTATCCACAGTATTCCTCACAGCCCTCATTACAATTGCTGCAGCCCTTGCATCAAGCCCAGAGGTAGGCTCATCCATGAATATTATGGAGGGATTAGCTACCAGTTCAACTGCAATAGTTAACCTCTTTCGCTGCTCAGTAGATAAACCATTCACACCAGGCAATCCAACCAGCGACTCCCTCAGTGGCTTTAGCTCGACAAGCTCCATTACTTCTTCAATGAACATCTGTATTCAGTACCTTTGTTATGAGTTTACACATGGATATAGTGAAAAAGAGTAAATTTAACAGAGTCCCCCACAACTTTGGTGTGTTTCCTACAAAAACCCTCCTGAACTTTGTTTTTCCCACTAAACCCCTCAAAAGCAAGGAATAGAAGAGAAGATGAGCCCCAGAGAAAATAAATAAAGAACAGAATTATCCAAATAATAGGCAAGGGGGAGGGGATTGGGGAGGTGCGGTA